ACTTCAGCTGTGCCTTAGAAAGTTTCCTGGAGAAATGTGCTCATAAGACAGGCATCCCCTTTCCCACTTTCTCAGTTTCAAACAGCGAGTACTCACCCCTCTTCAGTGGCGCGGAGCACGACTTGGTTCATATATGGGATGCTACCACTATCGGATTTCCCAAGCTGTGAGTGAGCTAAATAGGGACTATGTAGTCACTACGATCGACAAAACCCACAGTAACTACATCATTGTGTGCAAGAAATTTTACGCGATACTACATTGCACTGAGTTAGGCTTGACGAACAAAGGGGAAGTTCTAGGGAATAAAGTATATACTCCTGTGACTATGGGCCTCAACCATGTGCTTGACATGCATGCCGGCATTAGCAGCCGCTTCCGAATAACCCCCACTGCACTTTGTGATTGCATCCCCACCATTCACGCTGTTTCGAAACTGCATAAGGATCCCTATATCTATAGATTTATAGCTGCAGCTAATAAGTCCTCACTACGAGGGTTAGCAATTATGCTACATCGGATCCTTGCGCATCTCAAGACCCACTTCCAAAACTACTGTAATACGTTTACCCAACGTATAGGTGATAGGTTATACTTTACCGTGCCAAATTCACAAACAGTACTACACAGAATGCATGCTTTCGCTTCCGCCATTAGTCAGCTGTACTCTGCGGACTTCAGCAATCCCTTTACAAACTTGCCACATACCGAGATTGTCAACAATTTGAATTATTTGATAGACCTATGTTTCTCAAATGCGTGCAAGGAATATGTGGCTGTTGGGTTCAAATCAGTATGGTTCACTAACGAAATATGTACTGATTTGCCTTGTTGCACTAAAGACGAAATCAAGACGATCCTGCGTATCATCCTCTCCGAAACCTACGTCAGGTTTGGAGGATACCTGTTCAGACAGATACAAGGTGTCCCCACGGACGAAAATGCTAGCCCCGACATCGCGGACCTGACGCTGTCCGTGATGGAATTCCGTTATATTCGTAGACATCCGAATACTGGGATCTGCTTCTGCTACATTGACGATATTGTGTCTATCAATTGCCCGGATTTCCCTGACCACGCTAAAGAGATTTATGGAAGTATGCTTACATTAAATATTACATATTCCGAGCCGTACGCCTGTTTTCTTGACCTGGCAATCAGCGGCTTTGA